GCATAAAGATCAAGGTTTATGCAAACACACTTGATCTCTTATATCAAACATGTAATAAGATTTTATTGCTCTGTTGTTTATATGCATAAAGTCATTCGCCAGCATTAATATTTCTTAATTGAATTAATTAAAAAGTATGTTCATGATACGTTTGAATTAAGGATCTGCTGAGCTCAAGTTTTTTAGGGCTGAAATGCCCGTTCTGCAAGCCATCAATATTGCATTTGTCTTTGTAACATCTCTTTCATTCTGCAGTTTCGATGTTGTCTTGGTAGAATAAGAAATTGATTCTTCATTGAGAATCACGTTGTTTTCCTGAAGCAGTGGTCTAATAGCCCTCACATGAGATATAGAACCAGATTCCATGATAGCCTCGCTACAATCATCACACAACGGGCCTTGTGAAGCAGTCAAACAGTCATAAGAGGCTGCAGACAGTTGGAAGTGCTTGACCAAAAAAAAGAGAAAAAAAACTTAAATTTCCTCTATTAAAAGAAAAGCATCAAGATATTTCACCTTTCAAAGGCAATGGCTCCGGCGCTGCATTTACCTGTTCAGAAAAACCTATATATACAAAAATTAATTTTAGAACTCATAACTAAAATTTGAACATGAATACATTCAGTCGATACCTTCAGCATGTTGCATTAGCCACGTGGATACACAATCCGCTGAAGGGGGTGAAAATACAGAAGTAACAGGTATAAAAAAGAGCCATCATTTTGAAAGTGAGTAGGGACACCCATGACAGCTTCCTGATGGACATTATCGCACATGATATTTCCAAGGCACTTGCTTTGGACCTCCTTCCATCCTTCCAAGTCTTCATCAAAGAATGGAAGAATTTCATCCGAAGATCTCCCTTTAAAGGAAATAATAATAGATCTATCAGCAGTAACCTCTACCAAGCATCAGTATCTTGTCAAACTTAAAGAATTAAAAGACAGCAGAATTCAAGCATGGAATTACCATATTAGACTCTTCTAAAATTGATATGGATTTTAAGAAATATTGAAACCACAGATTACAGTCCACCTATGAAATTTCTTACATTCAAAAGCTTCAAATCTCGAATGTAATATCAAGGAATTAAACATGTACCTGATGTTTCTTTGTAATTCTTCCCACCAACATGAGAATCTTGGAAAGGGTTAGCAAGCAGATATGATTCATTTTCTGAAAAACTCTGATCCAAAGTGGGAGATTTCTTCCTTAAGGTCAAGCCAATCAAGCATGAACCATCTTCTGCCATATCTCTGCAAGTCCTCATATCTATTGATGTATCTATGTCCTTTAGTTTGTTATCAGAGACATTATATGCCGACTCCATGCACTTTTTGGTTTCTTGATCATGATTTTGTAAGCATTTATCTTCATCAAGCATTTCCTGATGGACGATCAAAGGTGTAAAACAGCTTGGACCAACTGCATCTAGTTTCTGCATTCCCTCCTTCATTAAGGGTTTATCCTTGGTATTAAATTCCAGTTGCTCAACACCAGAGAAAGAGCCTGATTTGGTGCAGTAGACACCACATCTTGTGGATCCAGCAAGCTTAAATCTAAAGTCAGAGTCCTTTCTATTATAAGGTTCGCATTGATGAAAGGGAACTGCAGATTCTTGCTTGATCTCGGGATTAGAAGTCCATTGTGCTTCCTTTTCCACTGTGGATGAGGGTGCACCAACATGTGATGTGCTTTCACTCCTGAACGGAAAGGATACTGTATCATCCATGGAAAATTCCAAATAAGTCGATCTCCTAGCACCAGTTTCACAAAATCCAGCTTCACTATTGCTAAATGATGGTCTGAAATCAAGAGAATGGAGGGACATCTTCTCGTGCATATCATCTTCTGGAAAAACACAGGCATCTGTTTTTTTCTCTCTTTCTGCAATAATCTTTTTGACCTTGACAGACTCCTGTTCGGGGGATTCAAATTTATTGCATCTCTTTCGCCTCATCAGGTCCCGAACAGAGCACCCGGTCAATTTGTTTGAAACCTTTACATCACAAACATCTGTATCTATATGTTCCCCTAAAGGATTAGAACATATGCCTAAACCATTTCCAGCCATGAAAGTAACATGTGAATTATCATCCATCTTTTCAGGCATGATAAATGATAGAGAACTCCATAAAGAATTTCTAGTTTTGTCCTTACTAATGTTGCTTTTGTTAGTATCAACCAATGTTTGTTGGGGTGTCTCTTTAGGTTCACTTTTAGTATCTAACTTCAATGAATCTTCAGTTGATCCAGCAGAAGGGGACATATGAGGATCATCACCAGAGCCATCCAATTGAGGAATCTTTTCATCAGCTGAAGATTGAAGATGATTGCAAGGGAAAACACTATTAGAAGCCCTTTCCTTCGTAGCCTCAAAATCAACAAAGTCTTCAACGGAATCAAGGATATCCTGACACTCCTTTTGGGACTCACTCTCATAATCCATATTAGCTTTCTCCAGTACCTTGTCAATGGTTGTTGCAGGCAACAGGGGGCTAAGAATTGTTTCTCTAACAAGTTCATCATCTGAATTTATATCTTCAGCAGCCTGAGAAGAAGCAAGCCACTTTAGGAGCTCTAAAGCTTCCATATCTTCAGTCTGGCAAATAGCAACAGCATCAATCAATAAAATATAAAGACTGTAGATAGAAAAAAAAATTGACAATCCTACTCCGAGCACCTTAATTAAGGCACATGGAGAATCTGGTGAATACAATCAAGAGTGTTATGTAGTTCAAAGCAAAGGAAGTGATCTTCTACATTCCTAAATTGTTGAAATACTCAATAAGCCAGACATAATTTCCTTGAGCGAATCATACACGTTCAGTTTAACAGGAACCACAAGCAAAAAATATACATCGGAATCAGATATCATATAACATATAACAAGTACAAATTGTCTTTCATGCAACCATCCTTGCGAATTCTACATATTGATCAGATACTACATAACATATACGTATCTACAGATACATATTCTAAGTAATAAATATATGTGAGACAGACAGAGAGAGAGAGGAGAATTAAGAAATTAAAGATCTTCTATTCACTGAATATTACTTCAATTTGCCAAACTATAATGTGCAAATCCCTCGGAAAATTGTTTTAACAGTGAAACAGCATGCAAAATGATGAATATTTACAATATAGTCTAATGATTTTATCATTTCAAATGACTTTACTAAAGTGGCAGACGATGATTTATGGCATACATCCTTTCCTTCTGAGAGTGTTCCATCTATTTTATCTTCACATTGCAGCCCTTGTGTTGACAGAGATCTAAGTATATTTTTCTCTCTGGAACAATGTAAAACTTGCAGATTAGTGTTGTCAGGGTTGACATGAGCAAGTGCAGAAAAATTTTCCTCATCAGCAGATGATGCCATTGACTGCACAGGTTTCTCATCACTTTGAGATAAAGTTAAAATCTCTTCTGCTTCATTGCACAATTCTGCAAATTTATTTTCAAATCCAAGATCAAGTGATAGAGTTTTCAGAACATCTCCAGGGAGTGGTTTCCCAGATTCAGGAGGTACAGTTGGCTCATGCATTCCACTTCTTTCATACTCCTCCTGCAGAAATTATGAATTTGATGAAATCACTAAAGCAGAAAAATAAGATCTGTTATAAAAATAAGAGCCATCACAAATTTGTATAAAGGCAAACCTCCCAAATTGGAATAAGTGACTGGACCATTTTTACATCCGAGCCGGTTTGTGAGAGGGAGTTATACATTTTAAATTGTTGATTAAGAATGTCTGTGACAATACAGATGATGGAAGTTTAGTATGACATCATCATGCAAAAGAAGCTTCATAAACATATCTTTGAAGCTAAGCAAACCTTCAACATTAGCATCACCCTCAAGTCCACAAGCACTCTGACGTTTGACATGGTCAAGTTGTGAACCTTTCAAACCATCAAATTCATTAGAAAGATGCCACATCCAATCACTGGGAATAGTGGAAGATATCCAGACTGGAAAGTCAAAACTTGCACCAGTCCTTGAATCTGCCTAATGAAAATTTGAAAATTAACCACAATTGTAAAAGAATTGTAAGCCACGATATGCTTTGAACAAGTACTAAATCATTTATCATGGAAAATGAGATAAAGGCACCTGAAAACTCTTGTAATCTGTATTCCTTGGGGAGAAAACATTTGGCACTGGATGGCGGAACTTGATATGGGATAGATGTATGTAACCCATTCCATACAAGTTGTAGTCAATCTACATAAGAGATTCAGACATGGTAACAGACAGATGAAAACTGAAATTTGATGGAGAAGCAGACAGGCCAGGTATGGCAAGGAAAATGAACATATGTTATCAGGAAATAGCCGAAGTTGCAGCTCCATGCAGAAAGACCATAAATAATAGCATAAGATCAGTTTTGAGATACTTCAACTGCAACAATCAGATGTCTTACTGCCATCTTCATGACGAAGACAACTCATTTAATGGCCATTGGCACATAACATGGTCAGCAAACAGTAAGAGAGGCAAGCATTTGTGAAATTAAGATCTGTACTGCAGCATTTACAAGGTACAAAAATAAACACCTATATAGTTTTGAGTCTACATTTAGATCTTATGGAGTAATCGAGAGGCACAAAACCCTTTCAATTTGAAAGTTAACAAATATAGCACCAAAGCTATCCTCTACCTAAGAATTGGTTCTAACACTCTCAAGGGTATAACATAGTAGAAAGCATAAGCTGTTGATGAATGAATCAATTTAACTTGCTAGAAAGCATAATGTTGAGTTGTGGCCCATATACAATTTTTTTAGCCCACAGCATTCTTTTTTTTCTTTTTTTTTTTTTTTTTGAGATAATAGCCTACAGCATTCTATTATCTTGGGAGCATTCTTGTAAGGAAGCTGTTGAATCATGTTAAATTCTTTTTGTTCTTTCCCTTTCTCTGATTCTTGTATTTTTTCTGTGCATTGCATCGGTATTCACTACATCTAGCAAGGGAACTTGACAGAAAAGGAAAAAAGCTTTAGCGGGACTGTTTAGTAACTTGTTATAATAAAATTTTCAGAAGAACTAATTATGACATACCATACGTGTTTAACTATTTAAAAAATTGCATTTCATTAATTCAAAGATTACAACATCTTTACCAGAAATTGGAGGATGAAGGGAATATGTGATTCATATGGCTGCAAACTTTTATCAAGAACTGAACCTCCCTAGAAAGAGTAAAAAGAGCTATAGGGTTAATAAGCATGCACTGTCCAGAAAACTCTGAAAACAATAAAAAAACATACACAAACTAATACAAGCATGCAGTTATGTTATGCCTCTTTTATGGTTATACATTTTTTTTTAAATAACTTTTATGATTATACATATGTGAGTCTATGCATGTGCCTCTATTTATATATCTAACAATAATCTGTTACGTATGTAGAAAGTGTGAATTTACATGTGCATAATAATTCAAAAGACGAAAATTCTATAGTTCCAACGGTAACTTAAGTCAGATGTTTGGATATCACACCAAACCTTCCAATCATCAAGAGAAAAACCCATGACCTAATGTGCTTGTGTGATGAAACCTCCATATGAGATTGAGCATGCTTGCTTGATGAAAAAAACAATTCCTATGGTTTAACTTGAAATATAAAAATCTAATCACTAAATATGATTATTTTTAGAAACGAAATTGTGAAAGATCATAGTAACAAAAGGTACCATGTGTATAAAAGCTATAATATAACAAAAGAAACGAGCAGTGGACATGAAATAATAGTCTGAAAACTATACCAAAAGAAGACTGGCAGCACGAGCAACATCATGTGGATAGTAACTAAGACATTGTCAAGGTGATCAACAACATGCTCTCAAAATATTATCAGAAGACTAAAACAATCAAAAAAATGGATACAGATATATCTTTACAAATAGCTCCTCTGACCCATGGTAGCCATAAAACCTCTTTGCACGTACAAGGCTGCAACCATGTACATGTTGCCGTTTTGATCCAACATTGCCTTTAAGCTGCAGCTCCAAACCAGAACTAATTAAAAAATCTGTGGCATCGGCCTCACAGACTGAAAAAGATAAACAAAACAACCAAAATTTAGAATACGGAATTCAATCAGATCCAACCAAGCATACCTTCAAGGATTTCTCCAACGCAAGAGATATAGCATGTGTATAGGCATCACCTATGCAAATTCATGAGCGAAAAATTAATAAACAAGTAAATGTAAAGCATTTTATATTTTTCAATAGAAATAAAAAACATATACATTTTTGTGGGTTACTTAGATTAGTTAGATAGAAAACACCAAATTCAGGATACTGTACCTTCTTGGTGTGGATTAAGTGAAATATCTGAACATGGAACATATAAATAGGGCAAAGCCTGCAACAGACAATATGAAAAGTTTGTCTAAGCTTAGGTAAGTCGAGTAACAAATTAAAAAATCAAGAACTTAGACTAAAAAAAAAAAAAGAGGCAACTTGCAGCACTCAAAACACATACATGGCCTGATTAAACGTGGATCCCTCCTAATCTTGCAACCATACAAGATAAACGTAACAGTTCATGCACTAAATATGCAGAAAGAAACTTTTTTTTATACATGGATGCTTGGAACTGAAGGGACTGAATAATTCCAATCTCTGTAAAATTTCAGCAAGCAATCATTCGTGAGGACCTGAATCATTCCTGTCTCCCTTCAATTCAATTCGGGGGTTCACAAAATTTCAGTCAGTAAGCAATTAGTTGAAACAAACAATAGTTTGTGACCATCTACCATGTCATATAGTCCCCTAAGTAGTTATAAGGTGAAGAATGTTTTAACCAAACAATCAGAGCAGTAATCTTACTCGATGAACGTGCAGGCAAGTCTTCTGCCCAGCAGGAGTTGAACCATAGACTCTGATGACTGGAACCTCATTCACTCCCCCACCTTCAAAACTCAACAGATGAATTGTATAGTAATCAAAACAAACCCCTTATTTATTTATAAAAGAACGAAAAACAATCTTTCTGTTTGTCTGTGGCAAAAATACTATGCCCGCATTTCCAAGCATATTATTGTATGAAATTAACCAAAGCTGAAACGATGCTGATTAAGCTCTGTCGCAATCTCTGCAGCTAAATACTTAGAGCGACATAACAACTAGTTCAATTGTTACTCCAAAGAAAAAACTACATATAGATACAAATGACTAGTTCCTGTTTGGTTCCCGAGAAAATCAGCGGAAAAAGAAAGAGTAGAGGAATAACAAAAACGAAACTCTACAGCGCTTTGGCACTTATCAAATGTCGTTCCTGAGCTCAGTTCTCACCTTGAAAACTACTGTAGCAAATATCCAAATCAGGAATAGGAGGGACCATGTCGAAATCTATAGACACAATCCGAACGCTGAAAATGTTCGAATTCGGCTGAAAATCCGCCATTGATGATGCTCTCGATACTCACGAAACTGCCTAAACATACGCGCGCACATTCAGAGAGGGAAGAAATATTTTAAAACTAAAGAAGGTGTTGGACACGAACATCTTTGTATAACCAGATTTTCTTGGCGCCAGACCTTAGGGTTTTTCTGTTAGAGAAAAGCCCGTAGACCGAAAATCCCGACTGCGCAAACTCCGAGTCTCCGCGAAGGAGACAACATGGGCTGAGTCCCCACCGGGCCCTAGATCTTAGGGCGTTTACAGGCACGATAGACAGAAGAGAAACTCCGCTTTCTTGTAGATGTCTGAAACTTTTTCTCCAAGCTTCCTGTAATTACCGTTATACCCTTACTTAAGATAACTGGGCTGGTCCCAATTACGGGCCTTTTTATTGGAAACAAAACACTATTGAAATCCAAATAATGATAACAAAATAACAAAATAATTTACTTGCTTTAAAAAAATATATATATACAATGTAATAATGATTATTATATTTCAGGATAAAAAAGTAAATTACACAATTTTATTGTATTTTAAATTTTTATTTTTTTTTGTGACAACTAATTACCTTGAAATTTAATTTTTTATTATTTTACTTAAAATCGTGAATTTTTAAAAATAACTCGATAATTTTTTATTTATTTTTTTAGTTGCAAGTTACTATTTTTTAAGTTTTGTTATGTTTAGATTTAGAAATTCGTATATGTTCAGTTATGTGTGGAATGACAAAAGATAAAATTGAGGAAACAATAATAAAACAAAATTATTTAGGGTAAAAAATATTTTCTGTCTTCTTTTTTTTTTTTTTCTTTTTGAGAAATAATAAAAATAAATAAATTGTAACACATAATCTATCTAACTTTAGTAAACTGAAATTAAAAGGATACTGTGTCGTGCATGAAAATTCCAAACCAGTGGATCTCCAAGCACCAGTTTCACAAAATCAAACTCTTCATGATTGCCGAATGATGATCTGAAATCAAGGGGAATGGAGGGAAACAATCATCTGGGTTCAAATTTATTGCATCTCTTTCGCCTCATCGGGGTCCCGAACCGAGCGCCCGGTCAATTTGTTTAAAACCTTTACACCACAAGCATCTTTATCTACATGTTTCCCTAAAGGATTAGAAGATATGCCTAAACCATTTCCAGCCATGACATGATAAATGACAGAGAATGTAAAGATTTTCTAGTTTTCTCCTCACTAGTGGTGCTTTTGTTAGGATCAACCAATGCTTGTTGGGGTATCTATTTAGGTTCACTTAAAATGAACCTTCAGTTGATCCAGCAGAAGGGGATATGCGAGGATCATCACCAGAGCCATCCAATTGAGGGATCTTTTCATCAGCTGAAAGCTTGGAGATATGATTGCAAGGAAAAACATTATTAGAAGCTCTTTCCTTCGTAGCCCCAAAATCAACAGAGTCTTCAACGGAATCAAGGATATCCTGACACTCCTTTTGGGATTCACTCTCATAATCCATGTTAGCTTTCTCCAGTACCTTGTCAATGGTTGTTGCAGGCAACCATCTGAATTTATAACTTCAGCAGCCTGAGAAGAAGCAAGCCACTTTAGGAGCTCCAAAGCTTCCATATCTTCAGTCTGGCAAATAGCAACAGCGTCAATCAATAAAATACAAAGAATGTAGATAAGGAAAAAAAAAAATGATAATCCTACTTCTAGAACCTTAATTCTTAGCACATGGAGAATATGGTGAATACAACCAAGAGTGTTTGTAGTTCAAAGGAAAGGAAGTGATCTTCTGCATTTCTTAATTGTTGAAATACTCAATAAGCCATTCATAATTTCCTGGAGCTAATCATACGTGTTCAGTTTAACAGGAAAAACAAGCCAAATATACAAATTGGAATCAGATATCATTTAACATATAACAAGTACACATTGTTAGAGAAACAAATAGTCTTTGATGCAACCATCCATACGAATTCTACACATTCAGTTTTAAGAGTAGCACAAACCATATACACATTAATCGGGTATCATATAACTAAATGTATAGACAGATACATATTATGAGTAATAAATATATGTGAGAGAGACAGAGAAAGTAAGGAGAACTAAGAAACTAGAGGTCCTCTGTTCACTGAATACTACTTAAATTTGCCAAACAACAATGACAAAATCCCTCAGAGAATTATTTTAATACTGAAACAGCATGCAAAATGATGAATATTTACAATATAGTCTAATGATTTTATCATTTCAAATTACTTTACTTCAGTGGGAGACGATGATTTATGCCATACATCATTTCCTTCTGAGGGTGTTCCATCCATTTTATCTTCACATTGCAGCACTTGTGTTGACAGAGATCTAAGTATATTTCTCTCTGGAACAATGTAAAGCTTGCAGATTAATGTTGTCAGGGTTGACATGAGCAAGTGCAGAAAAATTTTCCTCATCAGCAGATGACGCCATTGACTGCACAGGTTTCTCATCACTTTGAGATAAAGTTAAAATCTCTTCTGCTTCATTGCACAATTCTGCAAATTTATTTTCAAATCCAAGATCAAGTGATAGAGTTTTCAGAACATCTCCAGGGAGTGGTTTCCCAGATTCAGGAGGTACAGTTGGCTCATGCATTCCACTTCTTTCATACTCCTCCGGCAACAATTATGGATTTGATGAAATCACTAAAGCAATAAAATAAGATCTGTTATAAAAATAAGAGCTATCACAAGTTTTTATAAAGGCAAACTTCCCAAATTAGAATAAGTGACTGGACCATTTTTACATCCGAGCCAGTTTGTGAGAGGGAGTTATACATTTTAAATTGTTGATTAAGAATGTCTGTGACAATGCAGATGATGGAAGTTTAGTACTGACATCATCATGCAAAAGAAGCTTCATAAACATATCTTTGAAGCTAAGCAAACCTTCAACAGCAGCATCACTGTCAAGTCCACAAGCACTTTACGTTTGACATGGTCAAGTTGTGAATCTTTCAAAGCAGCGAATTCATTAGAAAGATGCCACATCCAGTTCGCTGAGACTAGTAGAAGATATCCAGATTGGAAAACTAAAACTTGCACCACTACTTGAATCTGCCTAATGAAAATTTGAAAATTAAACACAATCGGAAAAAAATTGTAAGCCAGGATATGCTTTCAACAAGTACTAAACCATCTATCATAGAAAATGAGATAATGGTCACCTGAAAACTCTTGTAATCCGTATTCCGTGCAGAGGAAACATTTGGCACTGGATGGCGGAACTTGATCTATGATAGATGTATGTAACCCATCCCATACAAGTTGTAGTCAATCTACATAAGAGATTCAGACATGGTAACAGAAAGATGAAAACTGAAATTTGACGGAGAAAAAGACAGGCCAGGCATGGCAAGGAAGATGAACAGATGTTATCAGGAAATAGCCGAAGATGCAGCTCCATGCAGAAACACCAGAACAAATAGCATAAAATCAGTTTTGAGATACTTCAACTGCAACAATCAGATGTCTTACTGCCATCTTCATGACAGAGACAACTCATTTAATGGCCATTGGCACATAACATGGTAAACAAACAGTAAGAGAGGCAAGCATTCATGAAATTAACATCTGTACTGCAGCATTTACAAGGTACAAAAATAAACACCTATATATTTTGAGTCTTCATCTAGATCTTACGGAATAATCGAGAGGCACAGAACCCTTTCAATTTGAAAGTTAACGAACATAGCACCAAAGCTATACTCTATCCAAGAATTGGTTCTAACACTCTCAGGGGTATAACATAGTAGAAAGCATAAGCTGGGAATGAATCAATAGGAGAGCATAATGTTGAGCTGTGGCCCATATACAATTTTGTTTAGCCTACAACATTCTTTTTTTTTTTTTTTTTCTTGAGATAATAGCCTACAGCATTCTATTTTTTGGGAGCATTCTTGTAAGGATGCTGTTGAATCATGTTAAATTCCTTTTGTTCCTTCCCTTTCTCTGATTCTTTAATTTATTCTGTGCATTGCATCGGTATTCACTACATCTAGCAAGGGAACATTACAAAGAAGGCAAAAAGCTTCAGTGGGACTGTTTGGTAACTTGTTATAACAAATTTTCAGAAGAACTAATTATAACATATCATAAATGTTTAACTATGTAAAAAGTTGCATTTCATTACTTCAAAGATTACAACATCTTTACCAGAAAATGTGATTCATATGGCTGCAAACTTTTATCAAGAACTGCACCTCCCTAGAAAGAGTAAAAAGAGCTTTAGGGTTAATAAGCATGCACTGTATAGAAAACTCTGAAAACAGGAAAAAAAACATACACAAATCCTTATAAGAATGCTTCTTGTGCTTCTTTTATGCTTACACATGTGAATATATGCATGCGCCTCCATTTATATATCAAACAGTAAATCTGTTGCGTACTTAGAAAGTGAGAATTTACGTGTGCATATAAATAATTCAAAAGATGAAAATTCTATAGTAAATCTGTTATATATCAAACAGTAAATCTGTTATGTACTTAGAAAGTGAGAATTTATGTGTGCATATAAATAGTTCAAAAGACGAAAATTCTATAGTTCCAATGGTAACTTAAGTCAGATGTTTGCATATCACACCAAACCTTCCAATCATCAAGAGAAAAACTCATGACCTAATGTGCTTGTGTGATGAAACCTCCATATGAGATTGAGCATGCTTGCTTGATGAAAAAAATAATTCCTATGGTTTAACTTGAAATAGTAACAAAAGGTACCATGTGTATAAAAGCTATAATATAACGAAAAAAACGAGCAGTGGACATGAAATAATAGTCTGAAAACTATACCAAAAGAAGACTAGCAGCACGAGCAACATCATGCGGATAGTAACTAAGACAATGTCAAGGTGATCAACAAGCTCTCAAAATATTATCAGAAGACTAAAACAAGTAAAAAAATGGACACAGATATATCTTTACAAATAGCTCCTCTGATCCATGGTACCCATAAACCCCTTTGTGTGTACAAGGCTGCAACCATGTACATGTTGCCTTTTCAATCCATCCAACATTGCCTTAAGCTGCATCTCCAAACCAAAACTAATTAAAAAATCTGTGGCATCAGCCTCATAGACTGAAAAGGAAAAACAAAACATAACCAAAATTTAGAATACGGAATTCAATCAGATTCAACCAAGCATACCTTCAAGGACTTCTCCAATGCAAGAGATATAGCATGTGTATAGGCATCACCTATACAAATTCATAACTGAAAAATTAATAAACAAGTAAATGTAAAGCATTTTATTTTTTCCAAAAGACACAACAAACATATACATTTTTGTGGGTTTACTTAGATTAGTTAGATAGGAAACACCAAATTCAGCAAATTGTTTATACCTTCTTCGTGTGGATTTAGTGAAATATCTGAACATGGAACATCTAAAAAACAGAGGCAACTAGCAACACTAAAACCACATACATGGCCTGAGTAAACATGGATCGCTCCTAACCTTGCAACCATACAAGATAAACACAATAGTTCATGCACTAAATATGTACATACAAACTTTTTTTTTTTCCTAAAGGGATGCTTGGAACAGAAGGGACTGAATAATTCCAATCTCTAACCATTTCAATTTGGGGTTTTGTAAAATTTCAGCCAGCAATCGTTCGTGAGGACCTGAATCATTCCAGTCTCCCTTCAATTCAATTCAAGGGTTCACAAAATTTCAGTCAGTAAGCAATTAGTTCAAATAATCAATAGTTTATCACCATCTACCATGTCTTATAGTCCCTTAAGTAGTTATAAAGCGAAGAATGCTTTAACCAAACAATCAGAGAAGTAATCTAACTCGATGAACATGCAGGCAAGTCTTCTACCCAGCAGGAGTTGAACCATAGACTCTGATGACTGGAACCTCATTCACCTTACCACCTTCAAAACTCGAGGTGAAATGTATAGTAATAAAAACAAACCCATTATTTATTAATAAAGAAAGAACGAAAAATAATCTTTCTTTGTGTCTGCGGCAAAAATACTATGCCCGCATTTCCAAGCGTATTATTTTATGAAATTAACCAAAGCTGAAACGACGCCAATTAAGCTCCGTTGCAATCTCGGCAACTTAATACGAAGAGAGACATAACAACAGGATCAATTGTACTCAAAGAAAAATACTAAATACTAGATCCTGTTTGGATGCCGAGAAAATCAGCCGGAAAAAAAGAGTAGATGAATAATCAAAATGAAACTCTATAGCGCGCTATAGTAGTTATCAAATGTTGTTCCCTGAGTTCAGTTCTCACCTTGAAAACTACTGTAGCAAATATCCAAGTCAGGAATAGGAGGGGCCATGTGGTAATCTATCAACACAATCCGAACGCTGAAAACGTTCGAATTCGGCTGAAAATCCGCCATTCATGCTCTCGATACTCACGAAACTGCCTATACATACACATATACACTCAGAGAGGGAAGAAATATTTTAAAAATATAGAAGCTGTTGCACATGAACATCCTTTGGATAATCAGATTTTCTTGGCGCCAGACTCTATGGTTTTTCTGTTAAAGAAAAGCACGTAGATCGAATCCCGACTATGCAAACTCCGACTCTCCATGAAGGACACGATATGGGCTGAGTCCACCCAGGCCTTAGATCTTAGGGCTTTTACAGGCACATTAAACAGAAGAGAAACTCCGCTTTCTTTGTACGCAACGTAGATTTTGAAACTTTTTCTTTAAGTTTAATGTAATTACCATTCGAAGAGACCAATTTCATACTAAGTGATATATCTCTCCAAACAATAAATTGATTCAATCTCGACTTCGAAAATAACATACTTCAAGTACGGGACACTGAAAAATCATTATTTTATACCAAATCATGAACCAATGCACCTATATTTCTCGACCGATAAATAATTTGCAGGGGGCAACTCGATGGACCAATGCAGTATTTTTTTGCCCCACCAAACAAAAGGATCATTTGCCTAAGTACCAAAAAACAATATTTTTAAAAAATTAAGTACATTTATTTTGATTCAATAAATCAAATCATTCACTTTTATGTTAAAATATTAAAAAATTTTAACATTAAAAACTATAAATAACGAAGTCTCTATTTTAAAATTAAAATACTTTCAACAAGAATACAATTTCTTCTGGCATAAGAAATTAAGGAACATTTTCTTAGATGACGAAATACTTCTAAATTGAACAAAATAAGATATTTTTACTTTCATAACTAAGATAGTTTCATTATGGGCCACCAAGAAAAGATTTTTTCATATCAAAGGATAAAGAAAATTGAACTTCCAAAACCATGAACCCGCACCACCTATTTTGAAACCAATAAACTATAGTATTGGACAATCCGAATGACCAAAGAGAATTTATTTGCTCCGAAATCAACGAAATTTGCTTAAACGTCATGAGACATTAATTTTAAAAAAACAATGACATTTATCTTGAAACAATAAATCATGACACTTTCGTTTTCAACACATTAAATGGATGAAGTTTTAACTCCAAACTAAAGTTTTGAAAATACAAGACACCAAAAGCCAAATCTTTCCTACCAAAATCTTGTGAAATTTTTATATTCAAAACAATAAACTAAAAAACTCATATTTTGGGAAGAAAAACCTATTAATTTATACTGTCCGAGTAACCAGAGTGATTTTATTTCGACCCAAGTAATTGAGAAACACTTGTTTATCTAGAAAAATACATTCAATCTGATAGGAAAAAAACAATTTACTTTGCAATAATGGATCAAGTGACATCTCCCTCCAAATAATAAATTTATCCATTTTCAACTTCGAAAGTAACATATTTCTAGTATCCGAATAATTTACAATCATAAACCATTATTTCATACCAAATGAAAAGAGATTTAAACATTTAAAGCCATTGAACCAAAGCACCCATATTTTTCGACCAACAAATAATTTATAAGAGACAACTTGACGAAACAATGCGGTATTTTTTTGGACCACCAACCAAAAGGAGCATTTACCTAAGTGCCAATGAACAATATTTTTAAAAGATCAAGTACATTTATTTTGACATAATAAATTAAGATACTCGCTTTTATGCCAAAATATTAAGAACTTTTAACATTTAAAACCATGAATTAATGAGTCTCTATTTTAAGACAAACACTTTCAACATGGACACCATTTTCTTTTGACCTAAGAAATTAAGGAACATTTCCTTAAACGAAGAAATACATCTAAGTTGAGCAAACGAAGACTAAATCACTTTCATTATGGGCCACCAAGAAGGGATTCTTTCATATCAAAGTATAAAGAAAATTGAACTTCCAAAACCATGAACCAAGACAACCTATGTTAGAACCAAGAAACTATAATATATAGGACCATCCGATGACCAAACAGGATTTATTTGCTTCGATATCTACTTAAATGTCATGACACATTAATTTTGAAAAAATAAGAACATTTATCTTGAAACAATAAATCATGTCACTTTCGCTTTCAACACATTAAATGGATGAACTTTAACTCCAAACTAAAGTTTTGAAAATTTAAGACATCAAAATTCAAATCTTTCTTACCAAGATTTTGTCAAATTTTTCTATTTAAAACAATAAACCAAAGAACTCCTATTCTGGAAAAAAAAATCTGCTAATATATGCTGTCAGAGGAACCAGAGCGGTTTTATTTTGATCCAAAAATTGAAGAATACTTGCTTAACAGCAAAAATACATTAAAATTGAAAGAAAAAGACCAATTTACATTGCAATAATGGATCAAGTGATATCTACCACCAAACAATAAATTGATCCATTCTCAACTTCAAAAGTAACATATTTCCAGTACCCGAATAATTTACAATCATAAACCAGTATCTCATACCAAAAGAGAAGAGATTTGAACTTTTAAAGCCATTGAACAAAAGCACCCATATTTCTCGACAGGCAAAAAATTTACAGGTGACAACCCGAGGGATCAATGCGATATTTTTTTTGCCCTGCCAAAAAAAGAGCATTTGCCTAGGTGCCAAGTAACAATATTTTTAAAAGATCAAGAACATTTATTTTGACACAATAAATCAAGACACTCGCTTCTATGCCAAAATATTGAGAATTTTTAACATTCAAAACTATGAATCAAATAGTCTCTGTTTTAAAACTAAAACACTTTCAACAAGGACACCATTTTCTTTTGGCCCAAGAAATTAAAGAACATTTGCTTAATCGAATAACCAAAGAAGATTTACTGGCTCTAGAATCAACGAAATCTGCTCAAATGTCATGACACATAAATTTTGAAAAAACAAAGACATTTATCTTGAGACAATAATAGGACACTCTCACTTTCAATACATTAAATGGATGAACTTTTAACTTCAAACTAAAGTTTTATAAATATAAGACACCAAAAGCCAAGCCTTTCCTACCAAAATCTTGTGAAATTTTTATATTCAAAACAATAATCCAAAGAACTCATTTTGGGAAGAAAAAACTGCTAATATATGCTGTCCGAGGAACTCGAGCGATTTTTTTTTCGACCCAAGAAATTGAGAATCACTTGCTTAGCTGTAAAAACATTTAAGTTGAAAGAAAAAGACCAATTTACTTTGCAATAATGGATCAAGTGATATCTCCCTCTAAACAATAAATTGATTCATTCTCAACTTCGAAAGTAACATACTTCCAATACCCAAATAAGTTACGAGCATGAACCATTATTTCATACCAAACGAGAAAAGACTTGAACTTTTAAAACTATTGAACCAAGACACTCATATTTCCCGACTAACAAATAATTTACAAAGGACAACCCGAGGGGCCAGTACAGTGTTTTTTTGCCCCGTCAAACAAAAAGAGGGCTTGCCTAAGTGCCAAGGAACAATATTTTTAAAAGATCAAGTACATTTATTTTGACACAATAAATTAAAACACTCGCTTTTATAGCAAAATATTAAGAACTTTTAACATTCAAAACAATGAATCAAGATGCATCTATTTTGAGACTAAAACACTTTCAACATGGACACCATTTTCTTTTAGCTCAAGAAATTAAGAAACATTTCCTACACGATGAAATACATATAAGTTGAACAAACAAGTTCTTTTTTATAACAATGAAAAAAGATATTTTTATTTTCAAAACTAAGATTAGCTTTCAAAACCATGAACCAGAACACCCTATTTGGAAACCAAGAAAGTACATAGTATGGGACAATTCGAATGACCAAGAGAATTTGTTTGCCAGGGAATCAACGAAATATGTTCAAATGTCATGGCACATTAATTTTGAAAAAACAAGAACATTTATCTTGAGATAAAAAATCATTATATTTTTGGTTTCAACACATTAAATGAATGAACTTTTAACTCCAAACTAAAGTTTTGGAAATATAAGACACCAACATACCAAAATCTTGTGAAACTTTTACATTCAAAATAATAAGCCAAAGAACTCTTAATTTAGGAAGAAAAAACTGCTAGCATATGCTGTCCAAGGAACTAGAACAGTTTTATTTTGACCAAAGAAATTGAGGAACACTTGCTTAGCTGTAAAAATACATTTAAGTTGAAAGGAAAAGACCAATTTACTTTGAAATAATAGATCAAGGGCTATCTCCCTCCAAACAATAAAATGATTCATTTTCAACTTCGAAAGTAACGTATTTTCAGTATGGAACCCTAAAAAATCATTATTTCATACTAAACGAGAATAGAGAAAAACTTTTAAAACAATGAACCAACGCACCCATATTTCTCGACCGACAAATAATTTAAAGAGGACAACCCGAGGGGCCAATGCGGTATTTTTTTGCCCCGCCAAAAAAAGGAGCATTTGCCTAGGTGCCAAAAAAATACTTTTAAAAGATCAAGTATATTTATTTTCACATAATAAATCAAAACACTCGTTTTTATACCAAAATATTAAGAACTTTTAACATTCAAAATTATGAATCAAAGAGCCTCTGTTTTAAGACTAAAACACTTTCAACATGGACACCATTTTTTTTTACCCAAGAAATTAAGGAACATTTCCTTAAACGACGAAATACATCTAAGTTGAACAAATAAATTCTCTTTTATAACGATAAAATAAGATATTTTTATTTTCATAATTAAGATAGTTTCATTATGTGTCATCAATAAGAGATTCTTTCATATCAAAAGATAAAGAAAACTGAGCTTTTAAAACCATGAACCAGGACAGCCTATTTTAGAACCAAGAAACTACTAGTTTAGAACAATTCGAATAACCAAAGAGGATTTATTAGCACCGAAATCAACAAAATCTTCTTAAATTTTATGGATAGTTAATTTTGAAAAAACAAGAGCATTTATCTAAAGATAATAAATCAGGACACTTTCGCTTTCAACACATTAAACTTTAACTCCAACCCAAATTCTTGCAATATTAGACACCAAAAGCCAAGTCTTTCCTACCAAAATCTTGTGAAACTTTTATATTCAAAACAATAAACCAAAGAACTCCTATTTTGGGCAGAAAATACTATTAATATATGTTGTTCGAGAAAGCAGAGCGGTTTTATTTCGATCCAAGAAATTGAGAAACACTTGCTTAGCTGCAAAAATACATTTAAGTTGAAAGAAAAAAACCAATTTACTTTGCAATAATGGATCAAGTGATACCTCCCTCCAAACAACAAAATGATCCAATCTGAACTTCAAAAGCAACATACTTTCAGTATAGGACATTGAAAAGTCATTATTTCACACCAAACAAGAAAAAACTTGAACTTGTAAAACCATAAACCAAAGTATCCGTATTTCTTGACCGACAAACAATTTACAGGGAACAACCCGAAGGACTAAAGTGGTTTTTTTTTTGGAGCATTTGCCTAGGTGTCAAAGCACAATAATTTTTAAAGATCAAATACCTTTATTTTGACACCATAAATCAAAAAACTCGTTTTTATACAAAAATATTAAGAACATTTTATATTCAAAACTATAAATCAAGGAACCTCTATTTTAAAACTAAAACACCTTCAACATAAGCACCATTTTCTTTTGGCTTAGAAAATTAATAAACATTTGCTTAGGCGGTGAAAAACATTAATAAGTCATTTATAGACTAGACCAATTAATGTATTAAGTTTTTTATTTCATAATACAAACAGTAAGATTTCACAAGAATGACAGATCATTAAGAAAGTACCAGAAACAAAGATGATAGATCAGTTTTTTTTTATTTAAAAAATAAAACTCACCATTTACCTCTTATTCCTTCAACTTGCCTAAAAACAATCTTTCATTGCAAGATGCTCCATTATCAGCAATAGAACAAGATGCCTAAAAACACGGAATACAGAAAATAAGGAATAATTAAATTGTCCTAATGGAGTGAAGCAATTGTCATCTGTTCAATACCAGCAACTGACTCCATTAAAGCATAATTAAGCACACTTAAAAAAGGGGTAGCGAAAGGAAAAGTCTGGGGATGTCCTGATTTAAACCCATACTACCTTTCTCATGATGATTTTGAGATTAAAGTGTCTCTTAACTTGATTAGTTCAGATCCTACTACTTCCAAAACCTGTCTTCCTCATAGAAACAAGCACCGATGGAAAGAGCAAGCGAGCACTTGTTAGACATATATTGATAGGATAAAATACCTAAACATGAATAATATAAGATACTACTTTATTTAATCTGTAAATTACTCTACTATGTATTCACAATATTTTTACTACTCTTAACTCTACATATATAAATGAATCTTTATAAATGCAGAAAGAATTGAACAGTAGTGGCCCGTATACAAATTTGTTTAGGCTACATCATTCTTTTTTTATATTTTTTTTTAGATAATAGCCTACAGCATTCTATTATTTTGGGAGCATTCTTGTAAGGAAGCTGTTGAATCATGTTAAATTCCTTTTGTTCTTTCCCTTTCTATGATTCTTTTCTTTATTCTGTGCTTTGCATCGGTATTCACTACATCCAGCAAGGGAACTTGACAAAGAACGAAAAAAGCTTCAGTGGGACTGTTTGGTAACTCGTTATAACAAATTTTCAGAAGAACTAATTATAACATACCATACATGTTTAACTCTTTAAGTTGCATTTGATTAATCCAAAGATTACAACATCTTTACCAGAAACTAGGGGATGAAGGGAATATGTGATTCATATGGCTGCAAACTTTTATCAAGAACTGCACCTCCCTAGAAAGAGTAAAAATAGCTATAGGGTTAGTAAGCATGCACTGTCCAGAAAACTCTGAAAACAAAAAAAAAAAAAAAAAAAAACATACACAAACTAACACAAGCATGCAGTTATGTTATGCCTCTTTTATGGTTATACATATGTGAGCATATGCATGAGCCTCTATTTATATATCTAACAATGATCTGTTGTGTATGTAGAAAGTGAGAATTTACGTGCGCATATAAATAATTCCGATCTCTGTCCAATTCAATTTGGGGTTCTGTAAATTTTCAGTCAGCAATCAATCCTTGAGGGACTGAAGTATTCCAGTCTCCCTTCAATTCAATTCGGGGGTTCATAAAACTTCAGTCAGTAAGCAATTCATTGAAACGAACAACAGTTTATGACCACCTACCATGTCGTATAGTTCCTTTAGTAGTTAGAAGGTGAAGAATGTCTTAACCAAACACACAGAGCAGTATCTTACTCGATGAATGAAATTGCAAATATGATTGTTTTCTCGGAAAACTAGATTTTCCTGGCGCCCGAATCCCGACTACGCAGCCTCCGAGTCTCCGCGAAGGAGACGATACAGGCTGAGTCCGCCCACGCCCTAGATCTTAGGGCTTTTATAGGCAAGATTAGACAGAAGAGAAACTCCGCTCTCTTTCCGCGCAACGTAGATTTTGAAACAAGTGTGTAATTACCGTTTTACCCTTGCTGAGGTTAACTGGGCTAGGCCCACAAAATTCACGGGCCTTTATATTTGAAACAAAACACTATTGAAATCCAAATAATTAAAAAAAAAAAATACAAGGTAATAAATAATTTACTTACTTAAAATTTACACAATGATTATTACAACTTTTAGTGTTATATAGTTTGATTTGATTGTATTTAAATTTTTTTTACTTTTTGTAATGATTGAGTAGCTTGTAATTTAATTTTTTAATATTTATCTTAAAATCTTTAGTTTTTAAATATAATGTGTTAATTTTTTTTAATTGTAAGGTACTATTTTTTAATTTTGTTATGTCTAGATTTAGAAATTCATATATGTTCAATTATTGTGTAAGAATGACAAAAAATAAAATTGTGGAAACAATAATAAAACAAGATTATTTAGGGTAAAAGTGTTTTTTTTTTCTCTCTTCTTTTTCCGAGAAATAAAATAAATAAATAAATAATTTTCGAGTACCAGTTTCGCAAAATCCCAGCTTCATGGTTGCCGAATGATGGTCTGAAATCAAGGGGATGGAAGAACATCTTCTCATGCATATGTTTTTTTTCTCTGTTTCTGTAAGAAATCTTTTTTACCTCGACAGACTCCTGTTCTGAGGGTTCAAATTTATTGCATCTCTTTCCCCTAATCAAATCCTGAACAGAGCACCCAGTCAATTTCTAAATGTTCCCAAGTCCATTCACCTGTAAAAAAAAAAAAAAAAGTTACAGTAAAAAGAAAGGTAACAGTGATACCCTAAAATTATGGAGTTTTTATTTATGTAAAATTGTTAAGTTTATTAATATTAAAAATTAAATTAGTAGAACAAATTCGTATCAAAATTATATTCGTAAATTTCCTTTATTCACATCAACAAATATACATTCATGGGTCTAATAGTAACACTGTAAGATTTAAATCTATAATGGTAAAAGATTGAGAGATTACGATATAAAAACAATATGACTATACATGAGTAACAGAACTTTATATTGAGACACTGTTTGGAATTCCTCTACCAGTAAGTCCAAGATCGCTTGTAGGATACAACAGAGTGTATGGCATCTTGACAGGACCAAAACGGTTCTTCAACTTTTTATCATTGTTCATCTCTACAATTCTTTTTTCAATCTCTGCTAACTTCTCTCCAAACCTCCTAAATGCCTCCAAAGGTTCTTTATCTGATGTCCATTCATGCGTGTCTCTTTGTCCAAGATAAATTTCACCTTTTGAGTGTCTTGACAAAAGTTCGATGAGGGAAATGCCTAGAAGGGTTTGCAATTGAGCATTAATTGTTTTCAAGAAAACTTTTTCAGGGTTAGACACAAGCTCATCGAATTCAGGAGTACCCTTCTCTGGCATGAATCTACGACTAATAGTAGGACGGTTAGGAAGATAACCTGCATAGGGGTATTGACCAAAGTTTATAGCAGCATGAAGTGCAGAAGCTACCCATATGATAATTGTGCATGTTTCTATCAACTCTTCACGAGTATGTAATTTAGGCCACCATGGCTCGTCTTTCTTGTCACCATGACCTTCCTCTCGCAGTTCCTTCCACCAAGATTGGAGTTCGATGTCCTCTCTAACTATTTCATCACTCTCGTAGTAAAAGCTACAATAATCCCTAACCCATGTTTTGATAGCCGACCAAATTTCAAGACCATCAACAGCATATGGATAATCATTTATCAGCAAGCGCAGACCATATGGTGAGCTTGGATCATCAACAGCCATTCCTCTTTTTTTTTGGAAAAAAACAAAAAAAAAAACAAAAAACTAAATTTAATTTTATTATCTCTTTGAAAATTTTCCTGAATAGCATATACATTGATGAAAGGGTAGAATGTTAACCTCTTTTTGAGATCTTCAGGAAGTGCTTGTTCAGTGAAAACCCAATTCTTATAAATAAAAGAAGACATCTCCAATGCATATTTACCAGGAAACACTGTAGCCTCAAATAATCCACCAGCATTAATAAGAATTTGTCGAGCAAATGCATTTATATTCATTGTGTCGCGGAAGTGAGGATGCAAAAGCTTGTGGATTGGATGAAGCGAACTCAACTGCCTATTTGTAGCAATAACAAATGGCTCAATCACAGCATGGGTGTTCAACCTATGTGTGACCAAAATTAGAGACTTCTAGTTCAGAAAAAGAAATACCTCAAAGTACCGTTTTACCGCATAAAATCTTTTACTTGCTAAAGAGTCATACCAGTGACTGATGAGTTGATGATAACCAGAATCATTCACTGCAACATAAGCCTTTGCTAACTGCCAAAGTGAACCTTCAATGCCATCGTCAGCTGGTGTATAAACCTTGCTAACAGCACCAAGTTGATCTATTTCAGGATGTGGCAAGCTTAGTTCGATAGCTAATGGCCTTAGAGTTCCATCATCATTCAAGAACAGGATTGTCCTCGATGCATATGTCTTTTTGGATGTAGTATTTATTTTCCTTAAATATGGCATCAAAGTATCATGGTGATCTAATATAAATAACCTGTTCTGCACCAGTGCCTATACATTTCAACCAACAAAAATCATACTTATAATGATTCATCTTATACAATGAATAACGAGCTCAGCATAAATCTCAAGTCGTTACCTCATCTACAGTTAGCCCCTGTAGGTTGTTTTCAACATGACCTTTATTAATTGAACTATTTTGGTTGCCATATAATTTAGGTTCCAACTTGCTTACTGGAGGAAATTCCTACAATAAATTTTCGACGAAATATTAGTAAAAAGAGTAAACCCGACCTCATTATACGTGCTATCTTATGAAGTTTACCTGAAGATGGCGGATAACAACAGGGTTTACTCCAGCTAACATTTCTCTTGCAAATTCTTCATCAGTTCTCCAGGCTGATTTATCCTCTATTTAAATCAATTGAAGAAATTATCAGATTATAGTGTAAAAAGACAAGAATAGTTGATGATGTTAATTTTGCATTTTGTGCTTGAAGAGAAGGTACATTATAGTTTCTTTACCTTTAATAACCTGAGGCATTGGAAAATTGAAATTTCTTTCACCATCCGTTCGAAAAATTTCCCTCAATATTTCAATGGGGACATTTTTCTTGATAGTTTCAAGTAGAGGACTATCAGACACCTTCCTTCCATCTTCATATATCTCCATAATGTCCTTGAAAGTGTCAAATTCGTTGATGGTATCGTCAAATAATGCTTTAAATTCAGGTTTAATAAGTTGAATTATGGATTTAAATCCATAAGCAAAGAAATCATGCATTTTCAAATGGCTAAATCTCTCATCCCTTGGGACATAAATCTTTAAACTCTTGAGAAGTGGTAGCCTGCTCTCAGTTTTAGGATCTGTTACAATAGAAAAACAGGATAACAATAGTTACTATATGGATCAAAACCGTTTTACAAGTCTTTTCTTTTTTCTAATTCATGTACCATTTGGCAATTGATTAAATTAACAAAATTGCTGAGAAACACATAGTTTGAATCTCTAACCTTCCTCTGCTGGTGGCCTTCCTGTTCTTCCCCTACGAGGGTAAGGGTACTCGGTTGATCCGCCAAGGACTGGCCGGGGATCTTTTGTTGGTTCCCCCAAATCATTGTAATAAGCATAATCATACACTCTATCCCTTTTCTTGAGCTCTCTTTTTCCGTCTCCCCTTAACTTCATTAACTCTTCTTCTCTGTATTTGCATAATGGCAATGGTGTCTGACTTGGAAGATATGTCTATAATGAAATTAGAAAAATTATTATACATATGTCTAAAAGTAATTCTACTCAAAAGCTAGGATAACATAAAAAAAAACGCAATCAAAGTAGTGGCAATTGCAATAGTTAGTTAAGCAAGTCTATGGATAAAATATTATAGAGAATATCAAACACTTCACCGTGTGCTTTTATGAAGTTGATTACGTACTTTATTAATGAAGAAAACACGATATTTCTCCTCATTGTTTGATGGATAAATCCATGAGTTGCAAATAAAATGTAATCGACCTTGATCAGGAACATCTTCAAGAATAAGACTTTCGAGAAAAAATTTATTTTCGTAGCCATTGTATATTAAAAATACCCCTGGTGTTCCAATATCTGCATCCCAATCAAAAGTGACTGAGTATAACATGGTCTCATCACCAGTTGAAAGAGTGGTTTTTGAGATCCGGTTTTCCAAACTTACTTTCTTTCCCAATTTCCCCTGTAATTCATTTGCTGCATGGACACACAAAATAGAGTTTATTAAACAGTTGATAATTTTTTTTACATCCAAACTTAAACAACTACATAAAAATTTCAAATTTTCAAAACTTCAGTCACCTTTTTTCTCTTCTGATAAAGGTACACAACAAATTAATAATTCAAAAACACTAGTTACTGCTTTTTCTGATCTTTTTTTCTGATAAAAATATACTTCAGCTACTTTAATAGGATCTCTTATACATACACACATAGTTAGTATTTGAACTGAAAAAGAATCGGATTCAAATTTCTACATTTAACAGTTCACTTTATTTTTTGACTATATATCTGGACATCAGAATATATCAAAAACATGGGAATGGAATATATGCAAACATATGATCCATCAAGAGAGAAACAAAGAATGAGTCACTTATACGTATCTTATTGTACTTCATGTATATGAATTATGATCATTGCAAAAATAAGAAAGAAATAATGAGCAAAGAGTCTTTTTCATCTCATTTGATTCGGGCCATTTACAAATAAGTTACCACCAAAAAGCTGAATTAGATTATGTTATCTACAGGAACTAACTAATATGATCATTAATATACTTTTTATTACTTGAGAATTTCTATATTGGCATCCTATTTTATTATATAATATTGTATTTTTTTTCGTAATAAAATATAAACACAGTGTGTTTTATATTTACAAAATCATCACATAATATGATTGTATTAAAATTTATTATATTTCTATGATTCATTAATTTCACGACTTAAATACGAAATTAGTTTTTGTATTATTTTATATCAATTTGGTAGGTACGTATTAATTTCACTAATAATTTCAGTTATTATTTAGTTTTAAAAACATATTGTTGAAGAAAACGTGGATATTAAAATTGAATAAAATAACTGAAAAATTTACAAAGACAATAATTGAATTAGTTGCAAGAAAACAAGCTATCTCCTGAGCTTATAAGTTCAATGGTGTTGATTATCACCGTATAAAACCAGCCAAAGCCAATTAATTAATTAAATTAATCAAATAATTAGAACATCTTAAACTCTCTTTTTTGCTTATTAAAATTATCATTATCAACAGATTAATAATTAACCTAGTAACCTGTGTCGTTTTTCCATCAGCATCAAGTCCAAGTCCCCAAGAGCCAAGAAGAAAACAGAGCCGCTAGAGCCCCATGCTTAAACAACGTCACAACTTATTTAATTTTTTATTAAAAAAAGCCACAACACTGAGTGACCGAGTTTGAGAGAAGAACTCACCGGAATCGCTGTTTTGAGTACTGACGAGTTGCAGATGGACTCGTTTATGAAACAACTCGTGAAGCCCCTCGCTAACCAATGCGGTGACGTCCAGCGAAACCTGTTTCATCAAAGCGACGGTGCCTGTGATCTTCTTTTGCTCGCCGACGCCAAATCTCGACTTCTTGCCGATAACAGCTCCATCTTCGCCGGCGAAAGCTTCTTTTAAATGCCTCAACATCAGATCTTTCTTCTTAATTTCTTCAACCTCTTGCTTACCACAAAAGAGTACAACAATGGCTTATTACTATTTCTGATATCTGAACTACGAAAATGTATTAGAAACTTAATATAGAAGTTTCAGTGCTTGACAGAGATTAGAATAGAAGGACTTATTTATAGAGAAGCTAACGCGCTACGATTAGGAAGATTAATAATAAGCACTACCACCAACGTACTTCTCCTCTGCATCCAAACAAGAAGGATTTATTTGGCTTAATTACAAAGAAGTCCCTGATCTTTTACATTATTCAAATTTAACCTCTTATTTTTTAAAATCTTTTCCAAATTAGGCTTTTTTAAATTAGCACCGACTTTTCTCGCTTCTTTTTTCTTTCGCTCTCTTAGTTTCTTATATCAATTTGAAGTTTTAAATTAATATGTATTTAATATCACATCTTGTACTTTATATTTTACTCTTAATTTATAATTATTTTATTTTAAACTTATGGATAATTAATTTCTATTATTAATAACCATATGGTAAAAGAAAAAAACACAATTGGTAAAATTTAAAATTAATTTATATTTCCACTCTTAGGTTAAAATGGTAGCTGTAATTATTTATTTATTTACAGCCTGTATATAATTCGATTTACGTTTTTTATATTTTCGTTGTAATTTATCTAATTATATAAATATTTATTTCATAAATAAATACAATATATTTGTTTGAAAATTCTATTAGCTTGAGTAATTCTTTTTAACAATAGCAAAGACATCCTTTTGATAACCACTTTAAGAGACCGCACACGTGTGTATATCTATATGTACGTATGTGAGTATGTCTAGACACGTGTAATGATCCAAATGTTGTACCAAAAAATAAGTGGTCCTAAAATTAAGCCTGCAATAAATGAGTGTAAATAATGTAGTTACCAATCAATTCTCATTAATGAATTTCCTCCCCCTCAAAACCATATATATTTACCATTATTTACGTTAATAATTATTACGTACTTTATAAAATAAAAGTTGGTAGGTTCGAATTAAATTATATTTATATTTAGGTGTTATTATTTAAAAATTATATGTATGATATTACTATTAATATTCATTAGTTATTGAATTAATAAATATATAAATTATTTTTTAAAAATATATATATAATTTAATAATATTAAAATTAATTTCCTAAAAATAATAAATACATCGTATAGTTGATCATGCATACATGTAAGTATACATCTATACTCGTGAATATTTTTTTTTTCATAAAATATCCACTTAAAAATAAACACGTCACCTAAAATAATTTAAAATATATTTTTATAATAGTTAATTTAATAAATAATTTTATTTTTATAAATATTATGAATTCGAGTTAAATTATATTATAGTATATATTTTTTTAGGCTCGTATGTACGTAGATATATATATATATACACACACAAATTTCCTTATTTTACCACACGCACATACATATATATATATATATGTATGTATAGACGTCCAACGGAATCATTGAATGCTACTTATCCTTAACTTATACGGAAAAAATATGTGGTTCAAAAAATGTAAGTATGTTTACACAATAGTGGGAAGAAATTTCAACTAATACACTTTATTGAATTTCAATTAATACATGAATTGGCAAAACGGGATTGACATATTGGACTTAGAGCTCTAACCACTCCTCTTTGTAATTAATACCCCTTATCCAATTATATTATCTTTATGATTTTTAGATTAATGTATCTATAACTTCGTTAATCAAAAAATTATTCACTAATTAAAATGATTAATGTATCTATAGATTATAAAAACAATAGTGTCGCTATAAAATAAATAATTTTGGTATTTTTAAAGTTGAATGTATAATCATTGCTTGTTTTTATTAATAAACACACGCGAAAATTTAAAAAATATAAAAATTACAAATATATATTGATAAAATAAGTATAAGATTATATTTTTTTATTAATGATATCATACTAATAATTATTATAATATCGTGAGTTAACTATATAAAAAATAAAAATTAAAATATATTTTTGTATATTAAACGCGGTTTAACTTTTTTATATTTTTTAATTATATTATTATAAGTTCAAAATTAACATAACATTATGCTAAAAATAAGATTTAATTGCAACATTCACTTCTAACTATGATTTGTCACTTGACCGATTGATAAATTTTGGTTTTTAGGCATAATTATAATTATGATGGTTTATTTATCTAATGGTAAACCCAAATCTCCAACGATATGTTTAAATCTTGGTCTACGTCTCAAAACCCACTAGTCAAAATTTTATAACACAATCTTCCAAAATCCACATCCACCAATTGAAATCAAATTATATAATTTATGGAATTAAAGTTGGACAAATTCACTTAACATTAGCTTTATCCTTTATATCAACATTTTCCACAAGCAAAAATCAATATGAATTTTTTTTTTTTTAAAATAAATATGTAAACCCATGATTACTGCATATTCTCAACGTGTGAATATATAATATATATATATATATATATATACAATATTTAGTGCACCATATAAACGAGCTTTAATTAACCAACAAAATTTTACCCTTATGGTAACTTCTGTTCTCTTCAATATTATAAAGGAGCTTTAATTAACCAATAAACTTTATCTTAATGATAAAAAATTAAATTAAATATTAATTTATTAAAGATATTTCAATTAAGATAACATAATTATCATTAAATATTTATTTTTGTGAAAGTTATAATAATTTAATTCGACTTAATTGCTATAAATATGCTAATAATCTAACGGCCAAATGTTAAGTTAGGACTAGTCTAGCCAAAACAGTAGTGATTACGTGGCAAGTAGTGAAAGCAGTTGTAGCAAACTTACTCTAGTTCAGTTGCATGGAATCATACCCTTCGGTCATTCTTCCTTCCCGCGTCTTCTTCTGTTCACGTAATTGAGTACTTTCCTTCCCGCACGAATCCAGATACAATCCGTTTCGCTTCCTTCGAGACGATCTTTTAAATGCAAACCTTGAAGGCTAAGTTTATATATATTGATTCCATTTTGTATCGAGTTATCTGCGCTATATATACGCGTATACGTACATATCTATTTGTATGTATATATAAACTGGAAGTCTGAGACTGAGGGGATTTCTTTCTTTCTTGTTTGTGAGGCTCTTGTTGTTGACTGCTCGTTCTTCGATGGCAAAGCAACTGGAACCTTTTTACTCAAGTTGCGCGTCTGTTTCTGGTGAGTTATGTGCGCGACCGTTACACTTTTTGTTTATCTGTTTGGTTGGTGGGAAAATGATGGAAAAGCAAAGCAACACAAATAATCAGGCACTAAGCTTACCAGTGATTGTTTTGATTGTTGAATTAGTACTTCCTGTTTGGTTGTTGAGAAAATGCGAGAACAGTGGAGAAACTTTGGCGCGATAGGTTTTCTATTACCGAGTGGTAGTTTATTCTTCATTTATATTCAGCTGAGTTTGTTAAACTATTTGTTTTTGCAGGACTGAGGGAGAAGCATCGGGAGGAAATGGAAAATCTCACGTTGACAACGCAGCCATTGATGACCATAAAGTTTTTTGTGTTGGCTGTTATACAATGTCTCAAGCGAGCTATTCTTCATCCGGGTGGGTGGTTTATGCTTAGGAGTATTCAGGCAGGAAGTGTTGTAATTCTAGCTATGGCTATTGTGGGAGCTCATGAAAGGGTATTGTCACAGTACTTTACGTCTGATGGAAACAGAGTCATGCTTCCCCTGCATTATCACTTTGGTTTTTTCGCATTTATCTCAAAATTTATCCCAGACTTGTCACTTCTTGATGTTGCAGCATATTCAGGAGTTTCTTCGGTATGCCCAATATGGAGTCTGGTGGTTAGTCCTTGGTGTGGCGTCCTCAATTGGTCTTGGTAAGGCTGTGATACTTGGTTACCATCTTATTTCCGTACCTTTTAACGGCCTTCTTCAATCTTGCTAACAAATTAGCCTCTGGAGTCTTGGGTAACTTGGTTTGATATGACATGGTTCTGAAGACACGAGGCTGAAAATAACTCGATAATTGTCACCCAAGGCATAGTCACGTTGGAAACGTTTAAACTTTTGGGGGATTCTCTTGTTGTTCATGGGTATTTTGTTCACAGTAATCGTTCATTTTTGGTCGTTTGTTATTTCTTTTAAACTTATGGAGATAAAATTTAAGATACTTGCGGGGGCATGTTCATGCACAATTTCTTTTTTTGACTTTTGTAAAAAGTTAGGATCTTTATATATACCTGTCCTGGTTTCTGACGAAGTTAATGTTCATGCACTTTCTGATATCTATTTTTGTTTTGCTCTGTTTGGAGACTTGTATTGATCAACATGGGTGCTTATTTGATATTGCTTGAGAACTCTCATTTGAGCTTCTGGAATAACTTCTGATGGTTTCTTTGATCTGCAGGATCTGGTTTGCACACATTTGTGCTGTATTTGGGGCCACATATTGCCTTGTTTACAATTAAAGCTGTGAAGTGTGGACGAGTTGATATAAAGACTGCGCTATATGATACAATTCAATTGAATAGTAGTCCTTCATGGCTTGATAAAGATTGTGATGAATATGGTCCTCCATTGTTTACCTCCCTACATGGTTCACGAGTTCCTCTGAGCAGCATACTGCCTCAGGTACAATTAGAGGCTATCTTATGGGGTGTAGGAACTGCACTTGGAGAACTTCCCCCATATTTCATCTCCAGAGCAGGTAGCTACCATCAATACCTAAACAGTCAATATACTCAAGTATGGTTTTATATGATGAGCATCTGCTATCAGAAATAGCATTTTACCTTCGTTGACAAGTTATGTTGTAGACCATCATTGTCCTCAATGTTTTTTGTTTTCTTGATTCTCTTTTCTTTTCTAATTGAAACCTGTGTGCAGCTTTGATATCAGGAAGTAAATTGGAAGAAATGAAAGATTTGGATTCTTCTCCCTCAGAAAATAGCAGAATCATAGACGACCACCTCAAACATTTCAAAAATTGGTTCCTTTCACATTCACAATATCTAAACTTCTTCACAATTTTAGTTCTTGCCTCGGTAAGTTCGTGTTTCCAGTGAGATTGTGTGATTGTATTTTTATTATTTTTGCATATAAAGTATTCTGCTTGGATTGAAACAAATGATGCATGTATAGTGAATGGTACACGTTTTTTATGAAATTTCCCAAAGGAATCACTTTTCACCTGAGGAGAAGTGTGCTAAAGCAATATCCTAGGTGGAGTATTGACTCTTCCTCTTAATTTCTTATGATATACGCTAATCATTCTGTACCATGAATTCATATATTGAGTGTCTTCAATGTTTCTTTTCTAAACTATAATTAGAGCTTCCCAAAATTTTAGCTTTTTCTTTATCTTCCAATTACCATCGGACCAACTTTCTGATTTTTGAGATATTCAGGTGCCAAATCCTCTGTTTGATCTTGCGGGCATTATGTGTGGGCAGCTGGGTATTCCATTCTGGAAATTCTTTTTTGCAACACTGATCGGAAAGGCAATCATCAAAACTCACATTCAGGTTTAAAAGTTCACCAGATTTCATTTTTTAAATCATTTAATACCTACTTCTAATATCTTTCATATCTATAATTCTTTACAGTATTTCCCTCTTAATTACTTTTCATTTTCTCTCTGCAGACAGTTTTTATCATTTCAGTTTGCAACAATCAGCTTCTCGACTTGGTTGAAAATGAGCTGATGTGGCTGCTCAGCTTCATTCCAGGCCTTGATGCTATTTTGCCTAACCTTGTCACAAAGCTGCATGTTATTAGAGACAAGCTTATGACACCCTCTCCAGCCTCCTCAATAGTGAAGGTAAAATCCAAGGCAATCTCGAAAGCTGGACACATTTTACATATCCATGCCAGATGCCTTTATAGTTTGGATATCTTGACATCGTTTTCCGGATGTTGCTTTAGAAAATCAAATAGATGTGAAATATTCTCATTGATATATAGTTCTCATTTTCTGTGGTTTGACCTAATTGCAGTCTAATTAGTTTTCTTCCTTTTTTTTTTTTAATTATGACAGTTTAATATTCTGTTATTTGGATTTTTGTAGTTTAGATAAAGTTGTTTTCAGAGAATAATTAGAAGTGTGAAGTTAAACAAATTTATATTAAAAATATCTAAAGAATTCCAATAGAATAGCTTCTAAATTAGTGATTTATTATAAACCAAATATCAAACTTTAAAATACTCCACTAAAAAAACAAGGGTTTTACTACTATAAGTCCTAAATATAAATATAAAAGGATGAAACTATAGTTTACCCAAAATATTTATTCAGAGACACCTTCACATGCTGTGGAGAACCTCTTATTCTGTCGGTCCTCCAAATGCACTTATTCCTTTTTATGCATTATTCCTTATCTTTTTCAGGTTAAAGATTCAAAACTATCATTTGCTTTAGTTTGGAACACTCTTGTCTGGCTTATGCTCCTGAACTTCTTCTTCAAGATTGTCACAGCAACTGCGCAGAGTTTTCTAAAGGAACAACAAGAAAAGGAGTTGATAGCATTATCGAATAACTCCATAGCATCGGATTCAGAACCTTCAACAGCTGAATCCATTTAAGGAGTTGAAAGAGTTTGTAGAAGTTTCGTTACTGCTGGAGCATCATAAGTTGTTTATTCCTTTAGTATTTTTCTTTTTGGCATTTCATGATACGTTGATTTATAGATTTGGCAGAAAGTTTTATTTCTGTCAGTCACCAGAATAGTATAGTTGAACTTTAGTCTGTATAGGACAAGTCTTTGTAAATAAATTTCAGCATCTCACAATGGAAAACTACTAGGTGCTTCAGTAATATCAATGAACTGAAAATTTCATATACTATTGGTTCATTTTAAGTTTTTACTCTACAAATTTCTTAAAAAAAACTAATCATGTTTTTAAAAGTTTTGAATTCATATCCACTATAGAAACATCTAATAATTAATCAGAGTGGAAAATTTATTAACTAAGCTGACTCCTTATTCTATTTTCTCGGAATGTAATGTTCTTGAATTGATAATTTTGTGACTTTAAGAGACACCAGAACAGAAATCAGATGTAGAACCATGAATGCATTTAAGAAGTTCGGAAAGAAAGAAATTAGCCGAGATTGAAAAAAAATGTTTAGAACACACCAAAGTAGCGAGTTCACTTTCAATTGCATCAATTGTACAAGCATGTATCTCCACATAACACTTACAAGCTTCATATATATATATATATATATATATATATATCTAATAACATAGCAATCAGCTACATTAAAATATTTGCAGAAGAGGACATGAAAGTAGACCACACAATGAGAAACACAGGCAGCTGCTCCGCTTCTGGCTTGAAGCACCAACTGGATCACAATTTTATTATTGAATGAAAATCTAACCTTCCAGATAATCGCAATAATATTCACATTTAGATGCTTTCTTCTGTTCATGTAAAGATTAGAGTAAAATTATTCTAAGCATTTAGTTTATCCATCATGAAACTCTTACCATAACATTTCAACTAAGCCAAGCCTGCCCGTGTCTCCCACTGAAGATCTGCGGAAAACTCTGATAATGCAGCCCGAGGGTCACCATTTGAAATTGACAAATAATATTGAGCTGTTCCATCATCAACTTGCATGCTTCTCCTCAATGAATCGATTATTCTTCTCTTGGCTTGCCCCGAGCTCCGCCTATTAAACAAGCAGCCCAAATTTTTGTCAGGTTTACCATCCAGATATAGCACCGCAACTTCCCTTTTTGCATAAGCATCCAACTCTACATAACATGTCCCACTTATAAGAAGTTCTGGATTGTTTATGGGAATTAACAATCTCTGCCTTGAATATATGCCATGATCGCTCATCATGTTATTTAAACGTTTTATGTCCATAACCTGCATTTTTAAGCAGAAAACAAAAGATTTATAGATTTTCTTTTGAGCAGCAGAAGTTAAAACACTAAACATGTCATGATTTTACTAGGGTAAAGCACGAAAATTTTTCTTTGCAGTCAAGAAGTGGAGAAGACAAATCAAAAGAATAGGGGACAATGAGATGGGTATTTTTCCATATCTGAAGAAGTCAAAATGCAGAAAACATCATGGTAAAAGGAAAAAGAAAATAAATGCAAAGACACAATCTGCCATATCTGCAACAAAACCTCATGCTATGAATATCTTTTATCTTCTGCGTAACCATAAAGTTTGAAGATACTCATCATAAAGACAATTTTCATAACTCTTTTGGGTTCAGTTACCAGAAAACTCAAACCAATCTTCACTTTAACAATGATTTTAAGTAATGAGGAACCAGACGTCTAAAGTACAAGAATGCTCTGTGCATTTGCAATGTTGGTTTGAATGATAGGCTCGACCCTTGGTCATTAAAAGAAAGCTTATATAAAAGTATAAACAATAAGCTTAATTGTGATTTTCAATCTTCATCCTAGTCATTTCTAATCTGGATTTTGCTCAGAAATATTGCAGAAGATATGCAAATAATTCTAAATACAGACAATTCATATAAGCTCCTTCTTCTTGTACCCTATTGCGGATCAGAACAATGGAAAATCAGTTCAACTAAAAGTTCCACAGCTTCCATTTCCTAATCATCAACTTTTCCAATTTTCCCACCAGCCAAACAGAACCACATGCTTTCTAAAACTGTGTATCTAGGCAGTCAATTGCTAAATTCCCAGGCACAAAGAAAACCCAAAAGGCTAACTAAAAATTCACATTTTTATGTTACTTTTAGTTAACAACTAATTTAGCTAAACCTAGATTAGAAGCTACCCAGATTCCAATAATGATTGAAAAATAAAAAAAAAAATAAAGCTTTTTCACAGTTTCCCAGATAATCAAACATCTAAATTTCAACACGCAAACAACAAATTTAACAAACTCTCACACCCCTTTGTAATTTTTCTCACCCCCCAAACATCTAATTCCCAATACCTGAACTGAATACTTGACCGCAAGGCTAGCCACGCTGTCCCCACGCAAAATCCGATGCGAGATAGCAAACTTGCCGATCCCATTATCCCTCCAGAAACTGCTAGACACGGGCTTTCCCACCACCTCCTTGAGCCCCCATGGAGCCATGAAAGCGCTCACCATGATGGAATCATCGGATGCCACTGAGTTCCAGACCTTGCACACACTGCTCGCCCGGGCAAGGTCGGGGACGGAGAGCTTCTGGAAGATGAGACGCAGTGTGTCGCGGCACGTGAGAGCCGTGAAGTGCGAGTTGATCGGAGATATCGTGTCGGTCGGTGACGTCTCGGCTGGCAATGGCATGTCGGTGGTGAAGAGAGGTTGCGTTAGGGACTCTGCATCGTCGTTTTGGTCACAGCAGCAACTCATCTTATGACAACTCGAAAGATAATGTGTGGAGTTTAAGGACTGATTTTATATTCCGGAAATTAAAATTGTATTTTATTTTTAATTTTTTCTCTTTAGTAAAGTCAACGGAGTCAATAGTTTGACCCGCTTCAAACTTGATTTCCCGCTACTCCGTCCATGTCTCTATATAAAGAGAGGGAGAAAGGGAGTAAGAAGGAATCGAGATGAAAGGGATAAACAGAAGAAAAGAAAATGGAAGGGAAGAAAGACCAGATCATTTTCCTCGACTCCAGGTTCTGTACATTTACTCTCCTCTTACTCAGTAGATTTTACTTTTGCGATTCATTCACCATGAATTTGGAATCTGCAAAGCTCGCATCTGTTTCTGACATCGTCATGTTAATTCGTGACATTGATCGTGCTGTGTGAGAGGAAAGGATCATCCTCTTTACCATCAACTACAGAGACCGAGTTCACCCCACTTAGTGAGTTTTCGTCTAGGGTTTAAAATTTTGTCGTTATAATGGAATTTACACATCTTGTTAATTGATTTAAATATGAATTTACAGAAGAATTTGAAAATAATTCTGAATTTGTTCCAAATTTATCTTTAACAGAGATAATCTGTCCTTTTGGTATTTATATACCTTACGATTTATAGGGACAGACTGGATCCTCTACATTAGTTATAATTATACTAGGTGATATATTATTTCAAAAGCTAGAACGTATAGAAAATAGAATAACTGTATTTTAATTTATATTATTAAGCTTGGATCTTGTTATATGCAGGTTAAATTTTGTTTCAAAGATATCAGGGAAAAGAAAAACTGTATAGGCTAATGATTAGTATCATGAGATATATGTAGAGTTAAAAAATGAATCAATATTTAAAAGATCGTTACAAATTTTAACTTTTGTAAAGAGTACTTCACATCTTTATTATTTCATCCATTTAATTGTAAACAGTATTTTTAAAACTTGAAAGTTAAAGTTAAAAACTGCTACAATCAGAATATAAAATCTTTTTCACACTTCTTCAGCACCTAGTGCAACACCCAACTATTCTTCCTTGGAAACCATTACAGTATCTAATCTGTAAAGATCATTGATCCAAAAAGATACAGGAATTTAGAAATGAACAGCTAAGCTGTTCTTCCCGTTCAGAATAGGTGGGTCAATTCCTTTCCTTAGAACTGTGCTTGAGAGTTTCCTACCTCATATAGCTCAACAGTCAATTCTTTTGGTGTCCTTTTTTTTAACCTACCTATATATCTAATTGAATGATAGCCACCCTTGTTTGTAATACAGTGCTTCCTGTATTTGTAGGTTTTTGTTTAGTTTATTTCTGCTAGTATATAAGCAATCACCTGCTCCTATTTATGAGTACATAATCAGCTGTAATCATATCAACTTCAATAAGTGAAAAATATGAAACAAACTTTCTGCTTCACAAAATTGATGCAAGATGCTAGGTATAGGCAATGGGTAAATGTTTACGCAGTGAAAAGCTATAATGTAAAGATTGTTTTCCCTTCAACAAGGAAAAGGTAAAACATAGGAAAGCTTCATTAAGAAAATACTTTAGATGAACTTCTTCACAGTGGAACACTTGTACAACAATCGATACATTTTTCCACTTCTCTTAATTTTTTTTTTAAGGTACAGAGGGTAGCCCAAACAGTGAGAATTAAAAGCAGCAAAATCAAACACTCTAAAAAGGGGTTAATTTCATCCCTAGATCTAAAATTTATCAGAATTCCAACCTGAAAAAACAATAACCATCCAGAAAAGGAAAAGAAAGTGTCAACCAGCCCATCCATGACCAAGCCCATACGCATCCATGTAGCCAGCTGCATGAACATGATCATGACCAACATGGTGATCATGACTACCATGAACATGATGATGCTGGTGGTGATGATCACCGCTTTTTGCTTCATCAAGCATCTTTTGAATATGGTCAGGTATGGGCTCTTCCTCAACCTTTCTAACAGATTTTGGTAAAGAGGTCACAAATTGAGCAATATCCTCAGCTAGCTGATTCGCACCATCGTCCTGAAGTACCCAAAAAAAATGAAAAAGAAAATCAACTGCCTTGCAATATTTGGACAGTATTCAAAAGAACAAGTAAAATAAAAATCCAAATTATAATTCTATTAAGCTTTCAAGACATTGGAATACAACTCTTTGTGACAAAATCAACAGAAAAGATGCATATTATTGATAATCCATTTCTATTCAAAGACATAATGTTAAAGCCACACGTATCTATCATCTAAACTTACAGTCCACTCACCTTCATAGAGTATATACATGCATACGCTGCCTCAACAATCAAGGAGTCTCAACTTTAAGTTTGTGATGACAAACAGGATAGCAGTTCTCTTAAAAACATAGACCTAAGATCAAATCTCTGCTGCTCCATGCATTACATGCTAGGTTAAGCTAAGCAATTTGTTCTCTTATGGTACATTTAAAATTATTTCTTTCACTCACCAATCAAATAATACCTAGTGCTGTGGATGTACATGGTTATAATCTGGTTAACAGTATTCTTAAGACATAACAGCAACAACTCATGCTTAAATTTTGTTAAGCCATTTTCAGAGAAGAGAATGATTAACAAAATAAATTCAAAATGCAGTCCAAAAATATAAGATTTCCACTCTCAGGTATACAGTGAAAGCAAATCAACAGATTCAGCAATCTATAAATCCTCACCTGAGGCCACCGGCCACCAGAATGTGTTGCAAATTTTGCCTGGGGAAGTGCCTCAGCAACACGTTGCCCCTCCTCACTCCACTCTTTGGACCAATCACTTGACCAGATCACTTGCATTGGCATATTTTCTATCCCATCCGAGCCACCCCATTCTGCTACATCAAAGCTGTAATTCAACTTCTTCCCCATACCCACTACCGCCTTCCTCCCATTCCTTCCCTTCAAAAGGATCCTATGTGCTTCCATGTCTGAAAAAGGAATGCTCTTTGAGCAACACCAGCTTATCAGCTTCCTATAGGCAAAGGATAAACTCAACACAGCCTCACTAATTACTGGGATTTCCAAAACCCACAAGGGCAAAGCTGCAGTAACTCCGGTATCAATGAGAGTTACACTTCTAATCGACCTTGAATTCTCAGAAATCCAATTTGCGGCCATCCCCAAAGCTGAATCATGTAAAATCAAATGAACAGGAGCTAAACCCATTGTCTCAATCACTTGCCCCAATACTCTCCCCACCTCTTCACTGCCCAATTCAATAGCTTGGATGCTCTTCCGATTCAAAGCCCGAGCTTGCATTATCTCCTCATATGGAATCTGTCCAGTTTCAATCATCTGATCAAACGCCCAAAAGAATCCTTTTTCTTGAATCAAATTATTGACCTCCTTAAACTTCCCAAGGAGCCCACTGGGGCTCTCTTCTCCAGTAACCATCACTGATTTATCCGAGAACCCATTTCCAGGCAAATCAATAGAGACTGCGTGAGCCCCTTTTGAGCCCAGAGATCGGATCATACTGCGAAAGGCATAAGAACTAAGACCCAGACCATGAATAAGCACGATATTCTCCGACCCAAAGGGACCATTTTCAGTGACAAACACCTCCATTGGCAATTGATTTGGGTTTGTCTGGACCTTGACGATGCGACCATTTGAATAGTGTCGGCGAAGAGAGGCTGGCAGTGACAGAAACCAGGACTTAGGGTCTTGTGGGGACGAAAAAGAGGAGATGGTGATGAAGAAGAGAGTAACCAGAGAGGCAGTGACAGTGAAGTAGAACCAGAAAGCGAAAGGGCTTTGCGTTTGGTGTTTTACTTTCTGCTGAATCAAAGTGGGGTCTTGGGTTATGTTTTGTGATGGTTTTGGGCTTTGCTCGTTTTCTTCTTCCGTGATTATCGCCATTGACAAGAATTTGGAGTTTTCTTCAGGATAATTGTATTCACTGTAAAAGCAGAGCTCAAGGCTTTAAAAATCTCTGGAGCGAAGACAGATTTAGACACATTCGCTGTGAAGGGTAAAGTAAAGCTTTTAGCTTGTAAAGCGGAGTTTAGGCTCGAAAACGACGACGTTTAAAGAACCCGCTTCTTCTTTCCCTCCTTCACAGTTCTTATCTTCTGTTCCTCGCGAACAAATTCAAGGTTGTTACCATGCACTCACTTCCATCACGAGCGATGCGTCCTCTTTCTCTTTCGTCGCCGACGCTTCCTCGTTCCTCTCTTCGTTTTTTACCTCTTCCTTCGATTTCAGTCTTCCACAAATTCAGAACCCAACTTTCATTTTATCGGAACTTCCCAAACACCCTGCTTCTCCCTATACGATGTTGCAGTTCCATCACTGCCAAGCCCTCTTCGGAGATTCCCCGGAAGCGATCAGAATCCGAACCGGACCACAAGCTTCGTGCTATTCGTGAGCTCTTCTCCAAGCCCGGTATCGGTATCGACGCTTATATTATCCCTTCTCAGGATGCTCACCAGGTTCAATTCGTTAGCCGTTGTTCGGATTTTTTAACTTTATTTAAGAATATATATTCAGTTACAGATGTACTTGCCTGAATCGATGGTATCATGAACTATGAGACCTTCTGGCTCAGATTCGACATCATTCTGGTTGATAATATTCAGTTGGGTCTCTATTAATTTCAGCATAATTCATTTATTTAGTTTATTGAGATTCGTAGTTTTGTGCCATTTCCATCAACCACTATACTGAAAAATGATTGCTTCTGTAATTTTTTGTTGTAGGATCTGAACTGATTGTCTGTAAGAGATGAATCTCTCAATTTCCCATCTTGAAATACGTTAATCATTGAAGCATGAATGTGTTTCATGCTATTGCAAGTCTCTCATACAAATTTTCTATTTTGCTTTTTTAAGTATAACAATTAATTATGAGCGTCCCAGTCAGGAATAAGTAATTTTTATTTTACTTGTCATGTTGAAGTCTAATTATATGTCATTTTGAGCCCAGAGTGAGTTCATTGCTGAATGTTACATGAGGAGGGCTTACATATCAGGGTTTACGGGTAGTGCGGGTACTGCTGTTGTTACAAAGGACAAAGCAGCTCTTTGGACAGACGGTCGATATTTTCTTCAGGTTCTTCTGCGGCTGCCTTCATGTTTAGTTTATTGCTACCACTTACTATGTGGTGTCTTGCCACTTACTATTTTCTTCCTTATCTTTGTTATCCCCTATAATTAGGCTGAGAAGCAATTAAGCTCTAGTTGGATTCTCATGCGTGCTGGTAATCTGGGAGTCCCTACTGCAAGTGAATGGCTAAATGATGTTTTAGCTCCTGGTGGCAGAGTTGGTATAGATCCCGTGAGAATTCTGAACCCTTTAGAGCAGTGATACACGTTTCTTGCTTTCATCCATTGAGCAAGCTATGGGTTGGCATATATGTTTTGGCTATTTGAACTGGGTTTCATGTTAAATGTTCAGAATATTTAGTTATTTATGATTTAGTCTACATTTCTTTGTTGAGATAAGTATATCTTTGTTGCTTCTTTTATTTTGGTTCTTATTTGCCTTGATCCCCACTGTTTAGCTTTTTGTTAATCCATTTATCTTGATTTGCCTGCTACCTCTCGTAAATATGGATTCAACATGATTTATCATCTACTATCTCTTTTATAATATGTAATTCTTCCTATTTCTTGATGCCATTTTAATTGCCTTTGATGTTTGTGAAGGGAGCAGTTTCTTTTTTCCTCTGATGCTGCGGAGGAATTGAAGGAGGCCATAGCTAAGAAGAACCATGAGTTGGTTTACTTGTTTGGTGTGAATCTTGTGGATGAAATATGGAAGGAATCAAGGCCAAAGCCTCCAAAGAAGCCAATTAGAGTACATGACTTGAAATATGCTGGTCTAGATGTAGCATCAAAGTTGTCTTACCTGAGGGCTGAACTTATGGATGCCGGTTCATCTGCAATTGTTATATCCATGCTTGATGAAATTGCGTGGGTTCTAAACTTGGTAATGCTTCTAACCTACTTTGCTTAGCCGAGTCTTGTTACAGAAGCACAATTGCCTGTATAATTTTGAATTCTGAGTCTCTGACTATCTATGGATGAATAAAAGTTATATTGCCTTTATGACATACTTGAATATCAAATGAACTTCCTTTCTGGAATAAAGTTGAATTATAGTTTTAATCACCATTTCAAATTCGTGTGCACCCTGGGCACAAATTCACCTTGGAAGCAGGAAGGCTGTCTCAGGTAGCCCCTGTGTGTCATGGTGCAGCGTGATACCCTTCCTGGCTTCTGGAAGTGGGAGGTCAGAATCACAGCGCAGCATGATACCAGCCCAACATGGTTGGGTCGGTAGACTTAGCCCTGCTGTAATTGCTGCAGCAGCCAGTAAGCTGGTTTGGAAAGGTCAACCCCTGTCTTAATTGCGGGAGCAGCCTAGGTTTTGGTGGGTAACACTGCCGGGTGGTCAGGGAAGTCCGAGGGGTTACCGGAGGCGCCAAAGTCATAAAGTTCTAACTTAAAAGGTTTTCCCTCTATGGGAACTGGTCAAGAGACCATCCCACCCTTATTTAAAAAAAAAGTTTTAATCACCATTTCAATGATGTTTCCCGATTTTGTTCATAAAATTCCAAAACCAAATGTTATTTTAGTGTTTGTTTTGCAGAGAGGAAGTGACGTTCCACATTCCCCTGTTACGTATGCTTATTTAATTGTAGAGGTGGAGCAAGCAAAACTATTTGTAGATGGTTCTAAAGTCACCCCAGAGGTGAAGGATCATTTGCAGAAAGCAAGCATAGACTTGAGATCGTATGATTCCATTCTTTCTGAAATAGAAAGGCAAGTGCGGAGGTCTTTTCCTTTTTTTCTCTCTCTCACTGGCAGGGGAAGTTGCAAAGAAGTTGGTTCTTCTTCCATTTTTTTTGTTATAAAAGCAGCAACTTTCTTTCTGTTTTCTTCAATGGGTAGAATGCATGCACAATTATGATAAGGATGCTGACCAGCTTATACTTTGAGATTAAGATCAACCCCTATTCATTTTTTATTGTGCAAATTGGTTAGAACACTGATGTAACTACACCAATATGTTTTCTTAGTCTGATACGTGAAAACATTTTTGAACTTCTTGTAACATTCAGCTTATTTAAATGACCATGGAACTCTTAACATAGCTTCCATTTTCAGTTTGGGAGCACAGGGAACCCAACTTTGGTTGGATACATCATCTATTAATGCTGCTATTGTCAACACCTATATGTCTGCATCCGAGAAATATTTTGGACAACTTGGGAGTAAAAGAAGTAAGAGAAAACAAGGTGCCTTTAATGGGCAATCTGGAGGAACCAATGGAGTTTACAAGGCATCCCCAGTATCTCTGGCAAAGGCAGTGAAAAATCCAGCTGAATTAGAAGGGATGAGGAACTCTCACCTAAGGTAATCAGTTCGTTTTCATGGAAACTGACTCTGTATTGATTAGTCTCATTTGGCTACCTATACTGCCTTTTCTTGTATGAATCAGTACTTTCGTAGAACAGTACTATGTCTTAAATGCAAGTTTAAAAGAGATTATATGTGGGTTTAACTTCTTTATGCTTACAGTTTGACTTAAAAGGCCAGAGTAATTTTTGTTTTTGCTAGATTTTGCTTAAGTTGTTGAGTTTTATGTTATTTTTGTTTTTCTATATACTAATGCTTTCTTGATTTCTTTTCCTCATGATGCATTTCTCTCCAAGTGGATGAAAATGACTAAAACAAAGTAAAGAGAAGTTCTTACTTGCATCGATAAGTGTCTTTACCGAAAGAAAAAGTTACTTTTGTCCATGAATGTGACTACCAGATGGTTTCTGTTCAAGGGTGAAGTTATATTTTGTTTTTTTCTGTTTTAATGTAGCCTTTTCTCTTTATATGGCTAGATGTATCCATAGTATGTTTTTGATGGAGATATTCGAAGCAAATAAAGTTAAAAAAATTTCATGGAAAAAAGAGTACATTATGCTCTGTGTTAACTTCCAGATTAAACTTGTAACCAAGAGCATGATTATAGTCAGTGTTGGACATGTATGTCGTCCTCTGTCAATGAATAAACTCACTAGTTTTCTTTTGAGTAGGACTTCTCTCTTAAACTTGAGTGGAAAGGTTTGATTTTCTTTATGAATTATATGGCTTTTTGTTGCTAATTATAGTTTGGTCACTGTAAAATCTATACAGAGATGCTGCTGCTCTAGCACAGTTCTGGGTTTGGCTGGAAGAGGAAGTCCAAAAAAATGTGAAGCTAACAGAAGTAGATGTTGCCGACAAGCTTCTTGAATTTCGTTCAAGCCTGGCTGGTTTCCTGGATACAAGCTTTGATACTATAAGTGGTACCTTTTTGTTCTTAACCAGAAACTTCACCTGAGCTTTAGTTTTTCTTGGTTCTATTAGCATTCAAGGGCTTTTCTACCTTTCTTGAATTTTGCAAGAGAAATGAAACTTCGGAGTAGAAGTTGTTTAGAACTCATCAGTGAAGACTGCAATTTCTTGGAAAAAAATTTTCCGAAAAAAATTGTTGATCTTGCATATGATATAGTGAAGACTGAAACTTCTAACTGCTCTGTTGCTAATTGAATTTATAATTTGGCGAACACCAATTCAGAAATTAGACACATGCCAGTTTCCTTTTTCTATGTTATTCTCTTTGCTAGGCAAGTAGCTGTTTGGTCAGATTGTCTTCATTTTTTAATTAGATTTTCACTAATTGGAATGTTTAATATATGACTTTTTATTTCTCTTTTTGTCAGTTTTCTAGAATATACAAGTGAGGATATATGCGAACAGAAAATTGTATATCCGATCTGCTCATGGTTCGGATGACCTTGCAGGGTCTGGTGCCAATGGTGCTATCATACATTATAAACCTGAACCTGATACTTGTAGTGTTGTGGATTCAAAAAAGCTCTTCCTACTGGATAGTGGAGCTCAATATGTTGATGGAACAACTGACATAACCAGGACAGTGCATTTTGGTGAACCAACTAAACGAGAAAAGGAATGCTTCACCCGTGTTTTACAGGTTTTACCATCTTTCCATTCTTTCCTGCTTGTTGGATGTGTCACCCCATCATCTCACTTTGAGACCCTGAGGTGCATGGTATACAATCCTAGGTAGTTTTGATCAAATTAAGAAAGGAAATAAACAATTTTTTATTTTGAGTTTATAGAACAGTTACTCTATCCTTGATTGATGAAATATTTGCCCAAAACGAGATCCTTCTCTCTCTCTTTTCCTGTTTTGGTATCTTGAAAATATAAAAATGACATAACAAGTGTTATATTAGCAGGCCAACCCTGCATGCTATAACAGCATAAGTTACAACCATTCTCTGGATTACTGATGCATTATTGTTCGTAGATCATCGCCTATGGAGTAATGATCCCACTATGGCCTTTGGAACTTTTACTATTCTGCGCATGTTAATTTACATTTTTGGGATATTTTTAGCAGAGAAGTAAATATTATCACAGACAACAAAGCAAAGTGCATTAGCTGAGGATAAGAAAGGGAAAACAAATGGAAAAAAAGAAAGCAAAAGAGCAATCTAAAATTCAACACAGAGCTTGTGTTATCTTGTTTTCTCCAAATTTGGATACTTCAATATTTTTTTTAATCAAATGTGCACTTCAGGGTCATATAGCTCTTGATCAAGCTGTTTTCCCGGAAGGTACCCCTGGTTTTGTATTGGATGCATTTGCTCGTTCTTCTCTCTGGAAGATTGGACTTGATTACCGACATGGTGTTTATCCTAACTTTACCATACAACAGATATTATTTCTACAAAAAATTGCATTTACATGCAAATTAATTCTGATTCGTTATTTCCTTCTTCCATGTGATAGGGACTGGGCATGGTGTTGGTGCTGCACTTAATGTTCATGAGGGCCCTCAAAGTATTAGCTTTAGGTATGGAAATATGACCCCTTTGCAGAGAGGCATGATTGTTAGCAATGAACCTGGCTATTATGAAGACCATGCCTTTGGCATTCGGATTGAGGTACCATAGTTACTGAGCTGCATGTTTTCTTGGTTGATGAGCAATGTGCAATTCTAAAGCTTTATAGTCTTATTTTCTTCGTGTGGCCTTTCATATTTGTCGATGATTTGGGTTCTGTTGATGCTTGATTTTCTTCCTTGCCAAATGATCAAAACTTATGTCAATTTTGTTTTTTGCTTTTTTCATTATTGCATTGCATAGTAGCATGTTAATTCTAGGTTTTCATCATCGTGCAGAATCTCCTGTATGTGAAAGAGGTTGACACACCAAATCGTTTTGGGGGAATTGAATATCTGGGATTTGAAAAGCTCACATTTGTCCCCATTCAGGTATGCTAGATATAACGTGAATAATGTTTGACCAGTCCCAGATATGATCTCTATGTTTCTGCTAAGCAAAAATCAGTCACAAGGATGTTATAATTGGCCCTCATGACGAAAAGCTGAGACTAGACTTTAACCTCTCCTCTTATTATGGGTTACTATTTCCCATGCTCCCTCAAGGTTATTTACGATATATACCGAGTCTGCCAGCCCTTGCTTCTCATATTCTCAGAGAGGTATTCTTAGGCTACTGGAACATATCTAAAACTTTGTATAATTCATTTAAAAATTTACATTTAATTTAATAAAGAGAACAATTTTATTAGATAATAATAAACTTTGTGCTCACATAGATTTCTGGTGGAATTTTCTTTGAGCTTGACTTTTATTACTTTGCTAAAATTCCCACCATCTTATTAAATTAGATGTGAATTTTCAAATGAATTCCATAAAGATTATTGATTTGTTTCGTAGCCGTAGAAGCAAACCTAACACACTCTTTGATAGAGGGAAATGAATTGCTTATTTATGTCAAACAAAGCAAATTCCCCTCCAAGGTTCAAATGAAGTTCAAACTGAGTGAAGCACCATTAGAACAAGATATAACTGAAGTTCCTAAGGAAATGATGATATCCTGTTATTCTCCAAGAAATATACAGAAATGGAAAATTCGGTTGAGTTACTTGAGGAATTTTTCAACATATGAATCCATTTCAAACTTCAGATTTTATCAATTATTGAATAATATCAGTGCAAGAATAGACGGTCAATACCTCACACCAGAAATGTAGAAAAAGCAACCCAAATAAGCTAATTCCTTTTTAGTGTTTATTTCAATGCATTTATGGGGATCCTTACGTGTTCATTGTATCTGATTTCATTTTACTGATAGTTACTCTCAAACAGCGATTGCTTTATATATGCTTACATCCTACAACTGCTTTTCTGCTGGTGGTAGACTAAATTGGTTGAGTTTTCACTTCTCTCTCCTGCGGAGATCGATTGGGTCAACAGTTACCATTCACAAGTTTGGGATAAGGTTAGTTCAATTCTCCTGTTTCTCTCAACCCTAACTCAGAGCAACTCTGCCTGTGTGCTTAATCTTCGAACTTTTTAAAAACCTTTAGATAGACAAATACTATGTTTGGAACAAATTAAGAAATTTTGTGGAAGCTGTTTATAAGTTCACATATTTCTAAGTATGAAATTTGAAATGTTTTTTTCAATTTCGCATGACATTCTATATGATATAGCTCATTTTCCATAATTTATGTCTTAATCGAATCGGTTATAAATTTATAAATGAATTCCATCAAAATTTTGAATTTATTCTAAATATATACATAGAACTTTGCAAAAGCGGTTTCTAAGCGCTCTTCATGTTGATGAATGCACACAAAGAATATATATCGTTTCCCGGCTTGCTTTTGAGTACGGAAATTATGACTGCCATTCCCTATGTTAATTCAGGTTTCGCCATTGCTGGATGGTTCTGCTCGAGAGTGGCTCTGGAACAACACGCGGCCGGTTGGCAAATGATGATTTCGCTCCTTTTATCCTTGCCCTGTATGCCCTGCTATTCTTTCGCACGTTGTGTTTTTAGATAAGTTGTACATATTTGGGGAATTAATGTATTGCTGGTCGTACTTTCACCCAACTCCCTCCCCCCAAACCAAAAAAATAAATATCTTCTTGTAAAATCTGTTATTTAAAGTAAGTACAAGAGCAGCCTAATCAGAAGTAAAGTTTGAGCAGCATAATCGTAGGATGTTAATATTTTAAAATTAATAACGTTAAAATTATAATATGACGATTAAAACAATTAAGGTATATGCAATATCTTTTCAGTTTTTATTTTCAAAGTTTACATGTATTTATTCATTAAAGTGGGTGCGAAGTGTCAATTTATATAATAATTAAAAAAGAAACAAAACAGTTTTTTTTAGGAAAATTAGAAATAATATTTTTAACATTTATTAACTCTAATTTTTACTATTGTGGTTTGAATTAATTTATTTTTTAAAAAATAAAATAAATGTAAATTTAAAAAGCAAAAATTAAAATATGCCTCCATAAACAGAAGGAAATCTCATTTTCATGATAAATACTCGAATGTATGATACTATTAGACTCTAAACACAAAATAACTTAAAAACATCCACTAAACAAATTGGTGCTTACATTTATAGTATTATAAACCCTGTAACACTTTCCAGCATTTTTATAATATTATAGATCCAGCGACGCTATTACATTTATGATATTATAATTATTCATAAGGTACTTAGCTAGCCGACTGGGGCACACATTTCCAATCTAATTAACTTGTTGGTATGCTTTCGTGGAGATCAACTATTTCCTCTCTGGCTTTAGTCTAAAAATAAACAGGAGGGAATAAAAAATATTCAAGGTATCATTTTTCTTCATTGTCATTTAGAAATCAGTTTCAGACTGTTATCTGGAGATGATTATAAAGAATACCTGATTCACTTTATCTTATTTGGAACAAGAATAACAGTGAGACATATGAGGATGCGCCACCCAATGTGCCGCCTTCCCGATCTTATCATGTTTGTAAGGACTTTGGGTATTTAGCTAAATAATTTTTTTTTAAGGATACAGCTAAATAGATTAACATCCAAATCTGCACAAGATTAATAGAATGTAATCAAAATCAAAGGTAAAATCGTAAACCTCATAGCACGGATCTGCACCGAGCATGTACACGACAGAAACTATTGGTTTCCTGGGATGTTATTGCTGCAGTGAATTCAAAGTCCTTTTCTGGTTTCTTTTACCATTGACTCTCCTTTCAGTTGGAAAAGAAATCATTATAATCCTTGTGGCCTCGGATCAGATGTAGAAAGCTCGGTGTACATTTTGGATATTGTATCGGCAAAGTACTCCTTTGCCTGAGGCCTCTTGATCTGAAAGAAAATTAGAAGTCAGAACTAGTGTAGTTACCTGGTTATGATTTCATTTTGCCAAAGCCCTCATGGCTTAAAGGGCATAATGCTCATTGTGGAGCTCTTTTGAGCGGGTTTTTAGTTCCACTAAAAGTTACTGGCCGACGAGGCAAAACAAAAGATTTTCTTTGGCTCCTCCTAAGCTGATAATAAATAAAAGCAACGAAGTATACCTTGAACGTTGGAGTGAGAAGCCCATTCTCCAAAGTGAACGGTTCAGGCACCAAAGTTACAGCTCTAGCAAACTCAAAACCCCTCAGCTGCAGAAACAATTACTTG